CCCCCCCCCCCCCCCCCCCCCCTATTTAAAATCCAAATGCACTCCCATCCTCTGAAGCATGTAGGAACTCATATGAGGGCTTTGCTACAGAAAAAAACATCAGTATTTTCATTTGCTTGTGTTTTTCTTTCACAATCTCTCGCCGCCTCTGTTTTTCGCTCTCCTCTGCACTGCCAGGTAGTTGATGGAATAATGGGGGTGTAGGGCATGCTACAGCTAATTCGCCATTGGATACCAGATTGATGGGATTGCAGTGTAAATTACTCGCAACAGTCCATAGACTTTGATGAAAAAATAATAAAGGGGTATGCCGTGGACAGATGATGATGTTTGGTCGGGTACGAAGCTGTGCAAATTAACGTATCTTGTAATTTAACGTCAAAGTGTAGCTGTGTGTCATAATGTGTTTGTACAAACGGACTGTAATGGAGCTACAGATAACAGATATAATTATAGATAAGCACTGTTTGTTTTGAGCAGTATGGTTAATTGACTGCTAAAACGGCCCATGCATCATTGATAAAAGGTATTGGGGGGGGGGGAAGTATAATTGCATGAATGATAAATCGAATTGCATATAACTTCCGCTCGCTGTGACTAATAATGCTGTTGCACAACAGTTGCATTGACCAGTGTTACAATGAAAACGTACGAATGAGAAAGGAATGTGTCGACGTCGCCGGCAAGTTATTGCAAGAGTCGTTCCTCACAATGGGCAGCTTTTAAACCCAGGGATATTTTCAGGTAATCATTTTAAATTCTTTTAACATTTTGTCACAGAATGGAAAGATGTTGGTGGAGCTCAGGCACAATAATTATCTGGACTCGAAGCAAATCACACAAACCATAACTCGTACCATTGACCTCACAAAATGTCAATGTCACAGTAGGAAAAAATATTTATTTCATCCACAAGTAAATCAAGCGGGTATGCTATTCTAGTTTTTGTTCTTTTCATATGTTTATCTACACTATTTATTTTGTCATTTTGCATTTTTGACCTGTCTCTGACTTTCTTGTAGCATCTAAAATTATATTTCTGTCATTTGTCGAGTAGCTGGAAGTGTTTTATCACCTGTCATTTCACACGCTGCTAGAAAAACATGATTATTTAATTATGTATTATATGAATAATCAGAAATTAATAAAACCCCAATACAATTAGGAATAATAACACATTACCTGCTTCAATGACTTCATAATTAAGAAAGTCTGCTCAGGTGGTGCAGTGATGGTAACGTTACTTAAATTACAAGATGAGCAAGGATCTCATATCTCGGTGATACTTCGCACTTCCATCTTTGTTTGGCGAAACAGGTGAAAGGCCATTATCCCAGGGAATGTTCTAGTACCGTTACAAACTCGACGGTTTTAGGTGTCGTTATGCATACTTAAAAAAATTGGTAGGTGTTCTCTAAATGTTGGGTTAGCTGTGTCTTGAACTAATGATAATAAAGAAAGTGATAATTAACGTTAGTTACGTGACAGAAAGAGGCACCAACTGCAGCCACCAACTTAATAATACTATTTTTT